CGCGGGGCCCGCCCCTCCCCCGCCCCACCTCGGGCGGGGGCGCGCTGAGAAGCGGTGACGTCAAGGGGCGCGGGGTGGCAGCACCTCCCCGCGCGCTAGTTAAAAAGAAGAAGAAAAGAGGGAGCGAAACATGAGAGGCTGTGTGAGGAGCTGCAGCCGCCGGCAGAGGAGACCTCAGCATCATCTAGAGCCCAGCGCTGCCCCTGCCTCCGCCTGCCCCGCCACCGCCGCCGTTTCTGTTCCTGCTACTGTCTCACCCAAACAACTCCCCGTTACATGGACAAGTGAACTTCTGTGGCCGTTTTCTCCTCCTCTTCTTCCTCCTCCTCTTCCAACTCCTTCTCCTCCTCTCACTTCCCAGCTGCAGCAGAAAGCCCCTAACCCAACTGACACTGGCACAACTGCAAACTGTGTCATCTGCACAACTTTATCTCGCTCCCCCGGCTCTCTTAAGGCATTGGACCCATCGCCTCGCCTTTTACTTTTCGCAAAGTTACATCTCTCTACATATTTTCACCCCGGCCACCTCCCTCTGCCTTTCGAGTGCCCTGCCTCCCCGCAGCCTCCTCCCGGAGCTGCGCCCCAGTGCCCTTGCTGGGCAGTGGCATTACCCCCCCTCCTCGCGCGCCCTGCCCCTGCCGCTCGGGGCAGACGATGCTGAAGATGCTCTCCTTCAAGCTGCTGCTGCTGGCCATGGCTCTGGGCTTCTTTGAAGGAGATGCTAAGTTTGGGGAAATAAGCGAAGGGAGCGGAGCGAGGAGGAGAAGGTGCTTGAATGGGAACCCCCCGAAGCGCCTGAAAAGGAGAGACAGGCGGATGATGCCCCAACTGGATCTACTGAGTGGGGGAGAGATGCTGTGTGGTGGCTTCTATCCTCGGCTGTCCTGCTGCCTGCGGAGTGACAGCCCGGGGCTGGGGCGCGTTGATAACAAGGTAGGCACCCACCGGCCTTATGCATGAGAACTTGGCATACTTGCTGGGTAGGGTCCCCTGTGGCTCTGGCAGTACTAGTAGTTGTAAGGAGGGCAAAACTTGTTTGAGGGGTTCTTTTTGGTAACTGTTGTACAGCGCTAACGTGATTCCTATGTGTGTTCCTCTGGGGTGCGCAGAAAACTCTCCCGCCCCCAGAGTCCGCGGTCGGGATGCTGTGCAAACTGCCTGTTTCAGAAAAGAGACGCTTCTTGTGGTACTCGCATCCTGGGCTGGGTAAATATTTTAAAAGAATTACGATTAACTGTGTTTTGGATCGAATGGGGCATTGGCTGCAGTGAAACTGTAAATTAAGGCAGCTGTGGTTTCCGGTTTATTTTTCTAGGGTAAAAAAGATTCGTGCAGTTTTCTCCACGTGCTCGGGACTGAATAGTAAAGGATGTTGAAGCATGGTTGGTTAATGATCCCCGGTCTCGTCAGAGGTTTTTTTGTTTTTTTTTTTTTTTTTTTTTTTGCATTACAGTAGTTAAACCAGGGAAAAGGAGCGCCTAATTGTCCAGTTAAGAACCCGAAAAACTGGCCAAAGTTTGTGTTGGGGTTTATTTATCACACAAAAAGGAGACGATTGTCCGTCATTTTGTGACATTATAAATTCAGGCTTACAATGGTAAATTAGTTGTCTAGGAAGATCTCTAGAAACTTGTTTTAGAAGTACTGACACTTAGTTTTCCATGGGCTGGTAAGTTTAAACAAATATGCGAATCGTGTTGTTTGAGTATACAGGCATGCTTTATTTTTGAGTTTGCAACACCTTTCTTGTCATGGGATGTAGTAATGTGTACTGTCTATCTACTGTACTCCAAGGAAAGAATGCTGGATCACGTCATTAACAATCACTGCACGTGAAATAAACAATCAGGTGTCTTTGCTCCCCCTCCCTTTCCCATTTTAGGTTTAATTAAGAATTCCTCTGTTACAACACTGCAGTTGTCAGGGTCTGAGAGACTCTTGGAAAACTTGTGCTTCAGTCTTGCTGGCCCAGGCATTAAAAAAAAAAAAAATACCCAGGCTGAATCTAATTTTTATGCTCAGTTCACGGTAGATTTCACTCTATTCTCATGTAAACAGCTCCTACGAATCAACATATGTGTCTGGGTGGTATCTCTCACTTTGTTTTGTAACAAAAAGCCATATTGCATCATTTAATTTGCTCAAGTCATGCAAATAGGAAAAAATCAATAGGACAAAAAGGGGTCGACTTATCCTCCTCCCCACTAAACTGCTGCCCACACACAGAGTCCTGTTGCTTATGGCAAAAGAATAACAACAACACCATTGTGTTTGTTAGTTGGTTCACTAATGGGTGAAACTAGAGAACATCATTCTCTTTCAGTCCCCAGCTCTGTCCAAATGTTCATGCCTTGTGAGGGAGCATTTGTCCAACTCCTTCTATTCCCAGATGAGTGAAAACTGTCTTGCTGCAGGTTTTCAGCTGCAACTCTCTGTTTATCCTTACCATATGCAGCAGTAGTCTGAGATTCAGGGAACAGATATTCCAGCATTTCATTCAAAACAATGTCATTAAGCTCCCGTGTCGTAATTGAATTAAGTTACAAAATAGCTCCATTCAGATAATCTTAAGGGTTTACTAGGAGCCCAAAACAACCAGGAAATTCAGAGAAAGGTTTAGAAATATTTACCATTAACTCTCCTGTGTGTAGTATACACTGCAAGTGTACCAATGGTCTGGTGACCCCTGCAGTACTGAAGTCTTCAAGGCCAGGAACACGAGGAAAGAAAACTTTGTTCTTAACTAAATTTAGAGGGGAGCTGGGAGTGTGGGACTCAAAGGGTTATAGCTTTTAAGAGAAATTCTATAACTTTTTTTAAAGAAATCATTCTTTGGGAAGCAATCTGCCACGTTAGCTATCCACATTCCTTTCTGTTTTACGTGCTTCCAATCTCCAACAAACCCCTACTCATTTGGAAAATGTGTCTGAATTAAAGTCGGTGCATTAGATTTTGCTGGTTCCATTACAAATGGTTTATAAACCAACAATACTCAAATTGTTCAAAACAGAGATTTGATATAGTTATGCATATGCGTTCTTGACATATGTTAGTTCTCAAGTTTTAATAGTTTTTAAAACATGTTATTTTATAATAAACTCCGGTGTTTCCTTTTTTTCCTCTAAGCCTTCCTGGTTTATAATATATGTTAGGGTCTTATTTCATAATGTGTGTACAGGAGGGATGATGGCTATTTGAAAGGGCCCTTTTTGGTTTATGAAAAAATACTTTCCCCAGAAAGATTTCTGCAGCTTTTCAAGAAACTACAGTAGTAGCCTTTTCCTAAGGGAAGAAACTTTATGGTTAAATACCATGATAGTAGCAAACTAGATAGGAGTATTGAGCTTGCTCAGCTGTGCAGTTAAACCCAGTTTCTGGACTAATCAACTTTCTTTAATGAGCTAGCATTGAGTTCAATTCTTTAGCCATGGTATTAGTCTTTTATATTTTAATTTTTTGTATATTTTAATAATTTTGTATATTGGGATGAGATTAACTACCATTACAAATAAGTACTGCCAAAATTGAGGAAGTTATATTGTGTTAGCAATATTTTTGCAGCTCCTAATTGTAACATACTAAAAGGTTCTAATTCCCATTAGCCAAATTGAATCCGCAACCAACTAAAATCCCCCCATTTCTAAAACTTGTAGCCACAGAGGCATAGAAGCTCTCTCTACCTTGGGTGGTTTCACAGCCAAAGCTGTCAAGGAATGGGTGAAAAGTAATTGTTTTCAAGTGTGCCCTTTTACAATCATTTGTTTGCTCTGGCTCTTTCAGGGACAAAGGCTATTGTTGAACACATCCAACTAAACAAATAACTCATCCTGGGGTCCCTTTAACAGCTGCCTTAGTACAATGATCTATTTACATATTAGCCTAAAATTGAAACTGAACTCTTTAATGACATAATCCAGCACTATAGTCCTGAGACGCATGTGTTCTACCCAACAGCTGAACAACCTTGCAGGCATATGATTTTTAGAAATAACTTTTTTGTGTACCAAGTGATCTTAAGGCGACATCTTAATATACTGTCATGTATTCTCTTCTTTTGTCCACTCATTGAACTCATGTGGGTGCCTTTTTACCCCTTTTTGTTTCGTTACTTAATAAATAAAGAGAAATACAGAAGGTCTCTGTCACCCATTTTACAGTTTGTTGATAAGCTATCGTTGTAGGCCACGCTTTATTGTGTATTCCAGTATTTATCTTACCTTTCTTCTATGGGTTTTACTTTCATGTGGCTAAAGATTAAAGGATCACCTTCCAGATGTTGTAAGTTAGTCAGCAACAGCCACAAACATTACTAGGCATGCTGTAATAATGTTTCGAAGTTTAACATGATTTCCAAAGTATATTTAGTTTAAACCACTATAATCTGATGGTTTCTTATATGGCCTTTAAAAATTGAAACAGGAAATTAGCTTAAATTTCTTCGTAAGATTGATGACGTTGTCAGACGTAAAGTTAAGATCTGTGCAGACACACACACACACAGGCAAAAGAAGAAGAAAAAATACCCTACACACCCATGCTCATCCGTCTAAAACAGTGCTGCCGCTTTGGCTAAGTCAGTTTAATTGACTTCACTAAGACTATTGGTTCATTGAAACCAAAGCCAGAATGATGGCTCTATCTATCTTCAAATAGGTATTTACACTGCAGACCTCACACAGAGCAAAATGTTACCATCCTGCTGGGCCGGAACAGCTTGAAACTTTAAAAAGAATAATATGATACTTGATTCCAGATAATTTATTGAATCCCGTTCCTGAAACTTTTGATGAGAGATTTTGTGGCCAGGACACATTCCAAAAATTGTAAAAGACAAAATTCTTTAGGCACTAAAATCACGTGCTTCCTGGAGAGCAGCTGGGAAGGTGTATGGGGATCATTTGGTTTCAGCTCTAAAAAATAGAAGCATGCATATTCTCCATAAAAGCAAAGGTAGTTACATCCCAGTTTTCCAGCCAGTAATAGAGGTGGCTTCAATATCCTGCAGTTGTTTTGTTCTCAGAGGACTGTTATATGATAAACAAACAGAACCAAGTTGAACACTATTAATATTGAATAGATCTGGTGAGGTCTGCCAGAGTATGAACAATAAAAGACGTTTAAAACATTCTTGGAATGCAAATTCTAAGTGTCTGGGTTATGTTTCCTTTTAGAAAACTTTAACCATTTAAGCAGTTGTCATTTAAATAAATTGATAAAAACTAAAATGCAAATGCGATTGTGATTAGTAACTTTTCTGAATATTGCAGATAGTTACAACACATCGTATAGATGTATATTTTTTTCCAAAATAGAGTAACTTCCTTTGAAATTTTAAATAGTTATATTCAACAATTTTTTAGTTACTTTGCTTTGTCAGACCCAAATTTTGTGATCACCTAGAATATCTTTATCATAAAAAATAGAGGCCATATGATCTATTCAAATTGGAACTTCAACTTATGAATGAAATATTTACTTTGAACAGTGATCTAGAATTCAAATTATTAATTTCAGTTCATAGGTCTAAATAAATAATTATAGTTGTATGAATTAGGAAAAATATAAAATTCAGTCTTCTTATGGTATAGTTTTAGTGTGAAAAATCAATGCTTGATTTTAGAAAACACTATGTTCATGTCTCAAACGTTTTGCTGATAATGTAGTCTACATTTATTAGATGAGCCCCTGAAGTCGGTTTTTTTAAGTTAGTACTAGACACCGAGACCAATTTTATCTACAAATTACTAACCTCAATGAATCAATAACTCCCAAATTGGTCTTATTGAAATAAAAGATATAACATTTTAAAACTAATGATAAAAGAATGGCTTGTTTCATTAAAATTCACTGAATATTACACAAGAGCACTTTCATTAAACTTGTGTTTATTCATGTATATAACATACCTGAGGAACTAGTTAGAAAGTTTTTCCTGGCTAAGATATAATGAATAATAAAAATTGGTCTTAAGCCTGTTTGATTCAGTTTCAGATATTATTTTTATAGACCATGAAAGGCAGATATTTCCTCACTTTAGAAAGCTTTCCCTATGTATACTGTAGATTGAAAATTGATTGAAATAAAAAGAAAAATGTAATTTAGTTACATCTTTGAGAATATCATATTAGGAATTTCAGGAGTGAAACAGTTTTTTACCTAAGATACAAATAAGCTATGTCTTAAAAAATTCTGCTTTGCTTACCAGTTGATAAAGGCATTTATTACTGTTAAAGTTAAAAATCAGTCAATATATACTTTGAGGCAGTTAAGTGATAAAGGGTTAAAAGGTCTAAATATAATTGTCTTTTAGTTTGTAAGGGTAAGAAGCACCTTTAAGCATCCTTACCCTTTGATCTTCCATCCTAACCCAAGAGACCGTACTGATATATCCTTCCTTATAAAGGCATTCTGTATTGTGATACAGTAATTTTTTACCAGTCAATTGCATTTCCTACTTGCATTATTACAGGGAAAAAAAAACCATAATTCTACATAACTTAAAAGAAGTTTGTTTCTGATTTATGGCTTTCAGATATTTTCTGTTACCAACAACACAGAATGCAGGAAGTTACTGGAAGAAATCAAATGTGCGCATTGCTCTCCACATTCTCAGAACCTGTTCCACTCACCTGAGAGAGAAGTCTTGGAAAGAGACCTAGTACTTCCCCTGCTTTGCAAAGACTATTGCAAAGAATTTTTTTATACTTGCCGAGGCCACATCCCAGGTAAAATAAAAGTATAAATTAAACAAACTACTGAAGAATATCCTTGCAAGATACCTGTCTTCAAGTGTTTGCTCATGAGAATGTAAAATTTATCTTGCCTTTCAAAATACCTATTTTACCTTATAATTAACCTTTCCAGATTCTTAACCTTTTATTGCTGCTAAAAGGAGTATTGCAGTTTCATTCTACAAGTAGTATGTGGGTTTTGTTGGAATGTTTTACATTTTTTATTAAACTGATAATATAGTTGATAATCTTTACACTCATTGGATTTTCAAAACAAATTTCTTATTGGTGGCTTCTTTACCCATCAGTATCAATATCAAGGTAGCCTCCTCTTCTACACAGCTGATACATAGTTGGGGATTGCCCACTGACTTCTAAGATACTTCCTTAAATAAAATATGATTAGAAATCCAAATAAGTAATGTCTTACAAAGCACTGTCACATATAATTACTAATTTGCTCCTCAAAAACCCTTTGAGGTAAGTAGGAAAAATGGAGCCATCTTCATTTGACAGATGAGAAAAGTTGAGCCTCAAGAGTTGTTAAATTTCTTAACCAAAGTTATACAAGGAGAAGATGGACAGGGTCGCCGTAGAAGTTCTTATGCTTGGAGTGTCACAGACATACCTAGTCACTATCATGTATTGGACCTTAATAATAAACATATAGATTCTTAGGCATTGATTCATTTTACTATAAAGACAAAGTTTGTAAATTTTCTGTTGTTGTTTTAGTTGGAAGAATCAATGTAGAGGTAGAAAGAATTTAACAAGACAGATTCTGTTTAGTTAAGCGAAGTCACAAACAAATCTACTAAAGTTAACAGTTTATAAATCTAAATGGCATTTTGGTAAAAGATAAGCTTCAAGAACTGTAGGATGCACTTAGGGAGTTTTTTGAAACTACTATGTACATTTTACTTTTTTCTCTGACCCAGAAAAGTGTCGATTTTTTATTTTTATAGGAATCTCTTAATATCCTAAGAAAACATTTTGACTAGGGTTGCTTGCTTCCTCTGGTATGGCATAACATGTATCTAAACCCATTCCATGTGAAAATATTATCCTTGTCTTTATAAACTTTAGCGATGTTTCTAAGACTTTTCTTAAACCAGCTGTTCCTTCCCCTTTATCATGTTCCCCAAAGCAAAGTAGAATAGGTCACAGTTGCCTCCGCAGCCTGTGGAGAAGCGATTACAGATTAGATACCATCAAGGTTTGCTGCAAACTTCAAGTCTTGAAGGTTTGCCTTTATCACTATAAGTTAAAAGTGATATCAGCACTTAGCATTTTTGTTCACATTTATCTATTTTAGATAAATACAACTATGCTGGATTTGGGGACTCATCTGTGGGGGTCTTTATAGATTTCAAACTCTTTTAGTTTCCAAAACAAAACAAAAACAATAGCCACTGAAAGAGAGAGAGCCCAGCAAACAGCTCAGGAGGCAAGACTGCAAGTAACTCACCCCCCCAGATCAACATATGTGGTGACGAATGACAAATTTATTTTTCTACAAAGTTTGTATATATGTAAAACTGCTGAAGTGCATCAAGATGTCAAGTGCTTTTGGTGGCCACCCAGGCTGCCTTGAAAGATAACCAGATGAAAGCTCCACTCTAGTGGTGGATGGCTCAGTGAGGGAGTTTTTCTAGCAAGGGCCATAGGCTTTAGCAACAAGTAGAGGGGCTTCCCCTGCATCCATCAGATGCTAATAATCACTCTAAATACTTGTCCCCAAAGCATGCTGTAATAACACACTCTTATGTTAATCGATTGGTTAGGTAGACTGATCTTTAGCAGTAGGTTACCGTTTCCTAAAGTATGATGAATAATGTGGTAATCTTCCCCTCAGCCTCTGCCCCAACACAGAAGAATCTTTAAAATTCTAGAACACTAATTTTTTAGAAAATATGAAGAAAGAAAATTTATGATCTTTTCATTTTTTCAAGTCTATTTAATGTTATGCTTTACTTGTCCCTCAAGTTCCAAACTGTGCAAAACAGCTAGTTTTTTATTCTTTTTATCAGGAACTAGTCAACATATTTTGACTATCCTCATTAACATTGTCTTTTCTTTCTACAAGTTGAAAACTTGAATAGGAAGATGCCCTAAGGGATATATTTTGCTAAGGGAAGGCAAATGCTGGCAAGAATTGGAAGAGAGAGAAAACAATTGTGGAGACATCTTCATTTTCCGCCCATTTTCCATACATGAAGAAGTAAATATAGAGATGATCTATCTATCCCTTTGCTTTGCCTTCATAGCTCTAGAATACCCATATACCTGAAAAAGAGCTACTCGCTAAAAAGTTTAATTCAGAAATAGTCATTGCTTGCTTATTATCCCCAAAATGAGAAAAGCAATACAGGAAGGGTGCACTAGAGATTTATTAAATCATAATATTCTCTAGTTGTAAATGTGTTACTTAGGGAGGTAAATTCTTAAAATTTCTAAAAATCCCAAAATTATATTTAAAAAAAAAAAAAACAGATACTCCCTGCTCAACCCCACAGAACTTTTCTTCTGCCTGAATTATGATCAGGAGGGTAGATCGTTTCCTAGTCAATAAGTGAGGGAATACTACACTCTGTGGAAAACATAGAATGTATAGCCTCACTTCTTCCTTTATATCTATTGTCGTAATTATTTTTATCAAAACTCTTAGACTGTCATCTCCTCAGCTGTAGGTTATTGTAGTGTGAAATGTCTGCACACAATTAGTTCAGTTGGCTTAATGATGTTGCTGGTGAGGCCAAGGTCAAGGGTTTGATCCCATTGAGATTCTCTGTTCCACAGTTACTCCTAACTCCAGTCAAGTATTTTGCACGTGTGTCTTATTAGTCCCACAGAGAGCAAATCAGAGGGAATTAATGGATACATAAAAATCCACTAGCTCTACTAGAAAATACTCTCCAGGGCAGACCTTAACTGACCCTGAGTCAGTAGCTCTTTTTTTCTTTTCCTTATCATATGAGTAGCATGTATAATGAGAAAAAAATGATTTTTCTCTAGAATGCATGCTGAAAGGAAAGCTACAGCTCAGAATAGCCCAGCCAAACCAAACCCACTGCCGTCAAGTTGATTCTGACTCATCGTGACTCTACAGGACAGAGAAGAACTGCCCCATAGGGTTTCCAAGGCTGTAAATCTTCATAGAAACAGACTGACACATCTTTCTTCTGTGGAGCTGCTGATGGATTCGAACTGCCAACCTTTTGGTTAGCAGCTGGATACTTTAACTACTGAGCCACCAGGGCTCCTCAGTATCCCAAAAGGGAGTATTTATTTTACCTGTTGGTAGTTTACAGAGTGCTTTGTGGTTCAGTGGGACTGGGTTCATGATCTAAGAGAATTAATAGTTACAGGTCAAAAGTATTTGATAAATTATTAGGAGTCTCTAGGTGGTGCAAAGGGTTAATTGCTGCTAACTGAAAGGTTGGAGGTTCTAGTCCATCCAGAGATGCTTCAGAAGAAAGGCCTGGCGATCTACTCCCCCAAAATCAGCCATTGAATCCCTACGGAGCACAGTTATCCTCTGACACACCTGGGGTCACCATGAGTTGGAATCGACTCCACAGCAGCTTATTTTTAAAAAAAAACATAAGGGTACCATTTGGTAAATTACACTGTCCCTAGCAATAAATGTTACCCCAATATCCTGAAATCAGGTCCTTGTTCTCATGGGAGTAAGCTCTTTACTGAAAAATACATGTTATTCATCGTTTTCCACGGCAAAATCATTAAGGTAAATTCTAATAAAGGTGTTAGGTATTTCAATTCAAATACATGATTTTAAGAAAAATGCCCATATTTTTATGTAGAAGTCTCCTGAACTGGCTCCCTCCTTCGCACTTAAATTATTCAGTTTGTCCAGGTTCTGTAAGAAGCTAGGAGTAATTCATTGTTAAATTCTGTATTTTTATTTGTTACGAGAGTGTAGTACCTCTGAAGCCACAGAGTTTATGACTCTGCACTCATTAATCTTCAGATGTTCCATTTGAAAACAATTTCTCATTTCCTCATATTTGTCCCCAGCTGATAATTCCTTATAAAATGGAACAGCCACCAGCGTTGTTCATTAATTTTCCCTTTAGTATGGTATTGGTTTCAGACTCTAATGCTGGAATATTCAAGATTTTTTTAAAAAGCAAACTCAATTTCTTATGAATTACACTTTGAAATATTTCTGTGACCCTGCAGGCAAAATTACATTAAAACAAATTTTTGCATTAATCAATTATATACCAAAAAACCAAATCCGTTGCCATCTAGTCGATTCCAACTCATAGCTACCTTGTAGGACAGAGTAGAACTGCCTCATAGAGTTTCCAAGGAGCAGCTGGTGGATTCAAACTGCCCACCTTTTGGTTAGCAGCCGAGCTCTTAACCACTGTGCCACCAGGGCTCCAATCAACTATATGGAGCCCTGAAACCCCACACACTGCGGTATAAGTATGTCCATAGTATGTAGTCTTTCTCATGCATGATATTGACATGGAGATCTTGCTGCTTGATGGTACATATGTAAAGCATGGCATATACATGTGTGGGGTGTGTGTGTGTATATGTGTGTGTACCAAAAAACAAAAACGGTTGCCTTCCAATTCATGACGACCCCACGTGTGTCAGAGTAGAACTTCATTCTATAGAATTTTCGGTGGCTGTGACCTTTCAGAAGGAGCCCTGGTGGCACAGTGGTTAAGTGCTCTCCTGCTAACTGAAAGGTTGGCGATTCGAACCCAGCAGCTGCTTTGCAGAAGAAAGATGTGACAGTTGCTTCCGTGAAGATGCACAGCCTTGGAAACCCTATGGGAGCCATTTTACTCCATCCTAGAGGGTCGACTCAACAGCAATGGGTTTGGTTTTTGGCTTGGTAACCTTTCAGAAGTAAATTGCGAAGGCTTTCTTCCAAGGTACCTCTAGGTAGACTCGAACCATCACCATCCAAATGCTTAACCATTTGTGTCACTTAGGTAGTGTGTGTACATATATATATATATCTCCATGTGATTATCATGCATGCAGAGTATAGATCCAAAATAAGATCTAGCATAAAACTGCAAAAAGTTTGATTTAGCAACTCAGTTTTCCTTTTACCTCTAAGAGACTTGTCTAACTCTACTAGGCAGTTTTCATATGTATATTTAGTCATTAAAGAACAGAGGAGAAAAGTCCATTGCAGACAGCAAATTGCTGAAGGTGAGTAAATGCTTTGGCCTTCATTCCTCTCCCCGGTTTCTAATCCCTAAATTTTTTCACAAGGAAAGCTAACCTCCTTCCAGCTGCCTTGCCTCTCCTGTGGAGCACCCTGCCCAGCTGCCATGTCTCTTTTTTCCATCTCCGGCCATACGCACACTCCCAAGGACATCTGCTCTTACTTGCCTGGTTCGCAAATATAAGCACTTGCCCCATAGCCTGGTCAGAAATTGGCCTTGAAGAGTCTATCTCAGAAACTTAGGGATGATCCATTTCACCCAAAACCTTGGCCAGAATGGACATAAAGCTTCAATCATTTAAGACCTTCAGATTCTAAGATTAGTTTTAGGTTTGTGGGGGACGGAGGTCAAGCTTACAGAAAATAAACTTTTTAGTGTCTTTCAGGCTCCATTGATAAGTCTCACTTGTTCTTACAAACCTTTGCTATTCTGGATCTGTTTTATAACTTCTTAACTTCAACTAAGTTAACAAGTGCCTTTCTCCCAAAACTAATAGGAGTACAATAATCTAACCTGTTAGATAAAAATCAAAACTTTGAGTATAATATAAATTTGAGACCAGAAGCAGGAATTTAGGAATGCATATAAAGCCAGCTCTAGCAATGACATCATCTTTTGAGAGTAGAAGTAATCCAAGTATGTAAGTGAATCTTACTGCTATGCTCTCCTTTCAAGAAAACCAACACTTTATTAACTCAAACTGCAAAAGTAATGTTAAAATTACGTTTTTGTCATAAAGTTCTTTCTTATTCAAAGATAGCTATTTGTATTTGATAAAAATTCCTAACATAGCAGAAAAAAAAATCTTTGAAACCTATTAAGTCTTTTGCATTTTTGTTTTGGGTCATTTTTTTTTAATTTATTTATTATATTTATGTATTTTTGGTGAGTTGATGGTATGTCAGCTTTCCTTAAAAAATTGAGTCTGACCACGGAAGGTCAATTAAAAGTTTAGAGTGTTTCAAAATGTCTTCCTTATTGACAAGAATCGTTGAACTATTTTTTCTGTTGTTTCATCATTCGTTAAACAAATATTAAGTCTCTCCTATGTGTTGGATACTAGTGACCAGAATTTGAGCTCATCCTCTGACTCACTGACTTCATGATACTTCTTGTCTCTGTTTTCTAAATACGAAGTAAGGACAGTAATGGTGGCTGCTTGACAGGAATGAAGGGATTTTTAAATATAATTTTTGCATATACAAAATAAATCGTCATCTCCTTTAAGTAATATACCAGAGAAAGGCACCTAAATGTCTTAAAATTGTGGCTTTGTTATTAATGAATTAATCAATTAATTGCTTGATCATTGTACATTGAGTCAGTCATTTATTATAGTGTATAATGACCTGAGGATAGTCATTAGATTTATTATTTAATCATATATGGGTAGGAATACAATAAATATTGTAAAATGACCAAAACTGGCATCTGATGGTCTACCTCTTTCTTGATTCTCTTTTTTTTTCCTTCTTAAAATGTTGTTTAGTATTGTAAGCGAAAAATGCTAACTAGTAATCAGGTAAGCTCACAGGTGCAACATATGCTAAGCAGGGGGAGCTTGGAAGGCAGTTCAACAATAAGATTATTACTGGTTTGTATTAATGCGTATTTCTTATGAGCCTTTTAAAATATCCAACACAATATTATTTCACATTTACTGTAGCTCTTAAATGTTGGTTAAAGAAGAAGTGGGGATTCCAAGCCAAAACACAAACAACTTTCCTTTTTCCTTTTATTTTAGTCTATATTTTTTCTTAAAAGACATTTATATTTTTCATATATAATATCTATATTTTTTTTAAATTCTCTTTTTTTAGTTGCTGTTTGGGGTGCTGAAAAAGTTTTGGATGTAGATAGTGATGATGGTTGCATAACACTGTAAATGTAATTAATGCCACTGAAAAAAATGTACACTTAAAAATGGTTGATATGGCAAATTGTGTGTTATATGAAGTTTACCATCAGAAATTTTTTAAAATTCTCTTTTCTCATGTATTTTTCAAATGAAGTAGTTTTACAGTAACATTAAATATTTCTAATGAGCCTTTTTACATTTTTTTAAAGGTTTCCTTCAAACTACTGCTGATGAATTTTGCTTTTACTATGCAAGAAAAGATGGTGGGTTGTGCTTTCCAGATTTCCCAAGAAAACAAGTCAGAGGACCAGCATCTAATTACTTGGACCAGATGGAAGAATATGACAAAGTGGAAGAAATCAGCAGGTTCATAAAGATAAATGCACTTTAATCTTTAAAAAAAAATCTGACAAATCTTGTGGTTTTAACAGTGAATCAACTGTGCTTATGCTCAACAGCTATGTCCTCCAGGTGTTCCCTCTCTTTTTGGTAGTTTGCTTCTCTAAAATCATATTAGTTTAAATGTTTTTAGTATTTTTTATATTTAGGCTACTAATATATTATGAGCTTGGCTTCTCAATGATTCATATGAATTTTATGGGTACAGTTTTAAACGTGAATTTTATGATTGTTAGCTTACAGTGCTGAGGAAATATTCAGCACAATTATTATTAGCAAATCAGATTTTTATAAACAGATCTTAGAACTTTCTCTCTGAGTGCCTTTCTATAGGTTTAATTATTGTGAGTAAAGCTAATTATAATTATAGTCACTGAAAGATGAGCTAATAAGCTTATAAAATTTTTAAATATGTACATGTTTTAATTCTCTCTTTTACTTTCTGATAGAAGGCTGTTTTGTTTTTTTCCATTTAAAAGAATCATAACATGATCCTTGGCTTAGCAGCACATCATGATTCCCAAAACCATTGATTCCTATAGGAAACGTATTTTGAAAAGGATGCTAAATGCATCCGTTTCCGCTTTCATCTCAAGAAAGCTTACTGGTTTTCTTTAATTTGTTTAGAAAGCACAAACACAACTGCTTCTGTATTCAGGAGGTTGTGAGTGGACTGCGGCAGCCTGTTGGCGCCCTGCATAGTGGGGATGGCTCGCACCGTCTCTTCATTCTGGAAAAAGAAGGCTATGTCAAGATACTTACCCCTGAAGGAGAAATTTTCAAGGAGCCTTATTTGGACATTCACAAACTTGTTCAAAGTGGAATAAAGGTTGGCTTTTTAAATTTTATTTATCTTTGCTCTGGCTATGTTAATTTTATTGTAGCGTTATCTTTTTCATTGAAGGCATTTGTTTGTAATAAAAGAAAGAGTATTTAAGGAGACAATAAGGAAATCAAAAAGGGAACATAATTATGGCAACGGAATCGGGACAATGACATTAAGTTTTCTGTTATTGCTAACTATTGGGCAGTGCAGTCAAATTGATATTTTGACATGCTTTCCCTATGTAATTTACACATTAACATAATTGGGCTCCATAAAGTATTTAAGTATTGTTTAGTGGGCATAATACTTAGGATTGTATATCAGCGTTTGCTAGTAGTGAAAAAGATCTTTTAGTTATTTTGGCAATTGCAAATCATTCTTTTACCGTATCTGTGTTTGTATCTGTGTCATAAAAAAAAATGATACTTGTACTGTGCCTTCCTTGTACAATGTTTTTACAGGTAAGTCAAATCTTTTTGTCTATAATTCGCTATACTATATAATATACAGGAGCCCTGGTGGCGCAGTGGTTAAGCTTTCGGCTGCTAACCAAAAGATAGGCAGTTTGAATCAGACAGCCACTCCTTGGAAACTCTCTGAGGCACTTCTGCTCTGTCCTAGGATCACTATGAGTGTCAGAATCGACTCAACGGCAATGGGTTTAGTTGTTGGTTTATATAATATATAAGCACATCTATTGCCTTCTTTCCCAGTTTGAAGTTTCACGAGAAGTAATTAAGCAGATATGTAAACAAAATTATTGTCAAGTTTGTTTCACAAGAAAAGTAACATGTACAAAATTATTACTAAACTGTAAAGCAAATTGTGGCATATTAAAATTAAGACACATTTAACAGCTCATGACCATTTTAGAATGAAACAATGTCACAGTTTGATTTGGGAAGAACTGGTTGTCCTTTTCATTTCTTAGCTGGAAAAAAAATCAAAGGTTTTCTATTCTTCACATAGAAAGGTCCCTGGGCAGCACAGTTTCCACTCCACTACTAACCTAAAAGGTTGGTGGTTTGAACCCACCCAGTGACACCAAGGAAGAAAGGCCTGGCAATCTGCTCTGTAAAGATTACAGCCAAGAAGACCCTACAGAGCAGTTCTACTCTGTAACACATGGAGTTGCCATGAGTCGGAATTGACACAGTGGCAACATGGTTTTGTTCATGTAGAAATGAACTCCTCCTTGCTTTGTTGAACTTTCTTCAGAAGTAAGGATACCAAAACAAGAAGAAACAAGTCAGAAAATATATAGATATATTCAGTACCTATTATGTAAAATCCACGTTCAGTTAGAATACAGGTAATGCCATACTGTTGGCCCTGGGTGGTGCAAATGGTTGGCATTTGGCTACTAACTGAAAGATTGGTGATTCAAATCCACCCAGTGGTGCTAACTAAGGAAGAAAGGCCTGGAGATCTACTTCCATAAGATTATAGCCGCTGAAAACCCTATGGAGTGCAGATCTACTCTGATACACGTGTTGTCGCCACCAGTCAGAATCAACTTAATGGCAATGGGAGAGAGAGAGAATGCTGTACTGTTGGGATCAACTGCCTTCAAGCTCATATTGTAACAGTATCACCAAGACACTCTTCATAAGAGAAGTAAAACTTTAAGGAAAAGGACTTTGGCACCAAGGCACAGATCACTTAGAAAGTCTGTTTAACTCAGTACTTTCAATTTTTTCCCAAAAAAGCTTTTCATTAGAACTCAGAGCAGATAATCAAAAGTCAGTTTTAAAGTGAAGCATTAGTGTTTTGCTTGTTTAAGTGTTCAGTAAATATCTTCTGAAATGAGTCTTGATAATTCACTGCCAGTGGTACCTAATGAGCAAAGAATAAAGATGCAGCTACAAGTTCATTACTTACTAGCAATGGATTTTTCTTACTGTGAAAGTAAAATATGCTCTCTTTTAAAAAAAAAAAAAGTTGGGAAAAATATTCAAATAATGATAACCTATAATCCCTATGGATCCCTGGTGTTGCACTGATTAAGAGCTATGGCTGCTAACCAAAACGTAAGCAGTTCAAATCTACCAGCTGCTCTTTGGAAACCCTGGCGGGGCAGTTTACTCTGTCCTGTAGGGTCAGTATGAGTCTGAATTGACTTGACGGCAATGGATTTGTTTTTTTGTTTTTTTTTTTTTGATGTAATCCCTATAATCCTATCACTAAAAGAAAATCACTGTTAATATTTTGATATATTATCTTCCAGTTTATATATTAAAATTAAATTAATATTTCCTGACTACAAAGGTAATACAGGTCTGTATTAATATGTATAGAAATGCACAAAGAAGAAAATGTTTTCGTTTAGCCTTTTTCTAAGCAGCTTTAAAATAAAATTGACATTAAATCATATATACATCTTTATAGCCTTCTTTTCTCACTTAAAAATGTCCCATGTTTTCCCAGGTATGGAAACTTTCCTTAAAATTTTAGTTTTTCTCTCATTTGAATGTTCCATTTCCTTATTTTGAGTCATTTAGAATGACTCCAGTATTTTCTTTATACCATTGTAAATAATGTTATTTATCATTCTTGTGTACATACATTTAACCTCATCATGATAACTTCCTTAATATTCATATGCAGGAGTATAACCAAGTGGAAGGACATGTACCATGATACATGTTGCTGATTTGCTTTAAAAATATAGTAATGTATTTTCAAATATTTGAGAAAATAATATACAGTTTTCAAATGTTTGTATTAAAAAGATATGTATGATAAAACATAGAAGTGAGAAATAGCCTCCAGAATACTTGAAAATTTTGCTGTAAGAAGTTGAAAAATAATGTTCTTGTTTCTGTTTCAGTTTAACTGTCTAAAGAATAACTGCCTTTTAAATTAGGGCGGCTTCACAGTCCCTCTATTTCAGTTTACTCCAGTTCACTGGGATAGTGAATGAGAGTATATCTGTTCTGAAATTGTACGTGTCAGGACATAACGGTGCCGTGGTTATCAAAGTGTGTTCTGCAGGCTTCTAGGAACTCTGCAGAATCCCCTGCAGCGCCTACCCCCCTTTTCCAGAAGAGCTCCATTTTTGTATGTTTTATGAATTGGACTCCTTTGTAAGGTTTTTCTTTTGAATCAAGACTTTTGGGGCTTAAAATAAAGCCCAAAACCCATTATCCCAGTGAACTAATATGTCATATTTTAAAGTGAGGTATTTTGAATTCTCTTGTTCGTGATGTCGATAAAATAGGAACCTATCACGTGGGTATTTGAGTGTGTGTAGTGAGTAAGGAGACCACATCTTTATCGCCTCAAGTAGATTATGCTACCACTGGTCTTCATCTCAGTTCCCTGGGGACTGCCATCACCGGTCACAGACGGAAAGTGTTAGGAGAGGCTACTGCCAGTATTGTGGGGCAGATGCCAACACATCCATGAGCTGATCATGCCACTGATTTTGGTGATATGCTCCTCAGGGACCTTGAAGTTAAAAAAAAAAATTTCACAACTATTTCACAATAATTTATTCAGGCTTCTTTGGTATATGAATGGTTAGTGTGTTCGTAACGGTATTCTATGTTTGTCAATAATCATTTTATATAAATAATGAAATTATAAATTTTCAGAAATTATTATGGATATTCACTTCTTTATTCTTTTCGTTTGAAAATCTGAAAAGAGGGCATAAAGCTTTTTTAACAGACCAGAGTATTGATTGGAATACTCTGATCACAAGAGTTAATAATATGTACTAAACCCAACCTTCATATTTTTAAAATGAAAATGCGACAAGCCATAGTGGAGACCCCTCTGACATTAATTAATGACCATTATAAATATATTAAGGTCCTGGGCGGGGCAAACAGTTAAGCGCTTGGCTATTAACCAAAAGGATGGTGGTATGAGCCCACAAGGCACCTCAGAAGAAAGGCCTGTCATGGCCTTGAAAACCCTATGGAGTAGTTCTACTCTGCACACATGGGGTCACCATGAGTTGGAATTGACTCAAAGACCACTGATTTGGTATGGATACATTAAATGAGACATAAAGAAGAATTCCTGCTTGTAAGAGTTTATAAAAGTTAGTACTGGCTATAAGGAACCTGGAATTTCTCCTCCACTAACTGTCAATTAAGAAACAACAGTGATTTCTGTCACATGGCAAAGAACTGGACATAGTTGTTCTCCTTAAACTTTACCAGCTCTGATTCTTATAGTTGCTTTGGAGAAGCAACATCAGCAAAGAGCTGGTCATTTATGGATCCTGGGCAACGCTTCCCTAAATGGGTCCTGACTGAAGCTAAAAAATGATGTCTTATTTTTAAACACCCAGGTTGTGCTGTCTAAATTGTAAGAGATTTCAGTACCCTGGGGGCTTAACTCTCTACCTTTTACTGAACATAAGTGATATGCAAAAAATGCAAAGCACAAGCTAAAGAATTCTTTTTGCTATAGGGAATAAGTTGTAGAGTTGAGATTTATGGATTAAATTCTATGCCATATGAATTTTAACCGCCATTTAGTTTAGGGAGAGATGATTCCATTTACAACAGTGCAAATCCTCAAAGACTGAGCTTTGTGACATTACCAAGAGTGTGACAGATACATACTTTTAAAATGCACAATGATTTGGTAGCTCTTTGGCGATAGCGTGCTATACAAGCTAGCTGCTAATACTGAAACTGTGAAGGATGGCTCAAGGGTAAACAAACGTAGACAGACTTTAAAATCTTCAGTATGTGTGTGTGCGTATGTCTTTTGCTGTTATTGTTGTTGCTGTTTAATCCCCAACAGGGACATTATAAACATTGTACTATCTATATCCAGGCTAAAAAAAAAAAAAACTTCTTCAGAATGCTGGTAATTTGAAATCTTTACTGAGCTTATATCTGAATTCTGAATCAGAACTCACAATTTCTGGCAAGCATTACTAAAAAAATAAATAAGTAAACCTGTTGCCATCGAGTCAATTCTGACTCAGCGGCCCCATGCATTACAGAAGAGAACTGCTCCATAGTTTTCTTGGCTGTACT